GATCATAAATTCACCCATAAACACTAGTTTTTAGCAACAGCTAGGGTTTCAGTTTTAGTTGAGCAGGAAAGGGAAGGGGCATCAGCCAAAGATTAGGGTCTGTCATGACTTTTTACAGCCGTAACTGTGGATTCCCCCCCCCCCACGCACACACCATTATTCTGCCTTTTAAAAAGGTGCATTTATATCCTGGGGCATCTTGTATGCAAGACAACATGGCATTTCTTTTTATTTGATTCCCTTAATGTTTGCCTTTTACAGAAATCCTATGAAGCAGATTTGGGGAAAATACTACACTTCCAAACAGTGTTTCTGTTTTTATTAAGTGAATTGTATTTCCCAAGTGAATATTAAACATTAACTTTGCACTGAGTGGAGCTACTTGATCTATGTGTTTATATCAATTAGTGAGAAAAAATGATGTCTATATTGTGGTACATGGTATATAGCTTTTAAAATGCTAATGCTGAGTTTCTTTCTCGCTCCTCCTTTACAGGTGAGAAACCATACAAATGTCAGATTTGCAATCAGTCCTTTAGAATTAAGAAGACATTAACAAAACACATGGTTATTCATTCAGATGCTCGACCTTTTAATTGCCAACACTGCAATGCAACATTTAAACGAAAAGACAAATTGAAATACCATATTGATCATGTGCATGGAACAAAGGGTGCAGAAGAAACACTGACTACTACTTCTGAGGAAAAGCTTGTTTCTTTGCCAGTACAGTACCCACCTGATGAAAAGGTTTATGAAACTGAGGCTAAACAGTACATTGAACAGCCCAAAGTATACCAAACAGAAGCCAAAACTATGCTACAGAATGTATCTGCAGAAGTATGTGTGCCAGTCACACTGGTTCCAGTTCCAATGCCTGAACCTCAAGGTGACTTGGTACAGCATACTGCTACTCTTGCATCCCAGTCACATGGAATTCTTCCTCCACAGACTCAACAGTCAGATTATCAACGAGCAACAGATTTGGCATTTCTTGAGAAATACACTCTTACTCCCCAGCCTGCAAACATAGTTCATCCTGTCAGACCTGAGCAGATGTTGGATCCTAGAGATCAGTCATACCTTGGAACTTTATTGGGGCTTGATACAGCTCCAACTGTACAGAATATTTCGAATGAACATTCGTGATCAGACCATAACATTCCACCTACTTACTAAGCTGTTAGCAACTGGAAATTTTGTATTTTATTTGGTCTCCTGAGTCTTTTAAATAGTTTTCTTAAATGCAAAGAAAAACAGATATGTTTGCATAATATTAGACATTTAGATATGCTTTGCATTTGAAAATGCATTTCTTGTGGTTTTATTTTTTTTTAAATCATGGAGATGACCTTTTTTTTTAAAATGGGCTATCAAGTACCTTTTAAAGATGTTAAGTACAAAAAAATTTAATTGCATATCTGTTCAATAACAATAACCAATCACCTATCAGCATCTTTCTTTCCAGATAAACCTTTTTGTATATGTTGGAAAGCTTAGAGGTTAAAGATTATTTTCCTAATTGGAGAAAAGCATGAAGCCAAAATGTTTTAATAATCCCACAGCATAAACTAAAATTTAACTTCAGCTGAAAGAAACCTTGGCTTCATTTAGTTGCTGTAATTTTTTGTATCTGAATACTGAATTTAGAAATATGGGACTTTAAGCATGTTGTTTTTGTTTATTCTTTAAACAGGTCAATCATTCAGAATTTTAAGCACAGTTTCTTTCTTGCTGCTTTAATCTTGGCTCATTCTGTTAAAATGGTATTATTAAAGTTCAGGATATGGGATTTATAAGATTGAGGGACATAGTGCACAAGATCATTGAGGCCAGAATCAAAAAGAGCTGAAGGTCTAATTGACATGCTTATTTCCACATTGCTACAATGTAAAGTATTTAAAAGGCTCTTCAGAGTATATTTTAATATAATTAATGAAATTCGTAATTATAAATGTCAGTTAGCTCATAAGAAAGTAGTTTTGGTTTTGTATTTTCTATATTTATATATTCCCTAGGTGTTAATTAAAAGAATTAGGAGGAATTAGTTTAAAACATTCAGTGGATTCAATAATTTTCATGTTCTTCACTAGTTCCTTTTTTCTGTTGTAAAATCATATCAAGATTTTAAAAAACTAGATTAATTTAAATATGAAGCCCCTTGCACTGATTTTTCTTAGGCCCCTGGCATATATTTAGTTGTGTAACTGGGATGCGACAAATTCTAACCCCCAAATTGCCAGATATGGATGGCAGGATGTATGATTCTTTTTGAATTTGAGATAAAATTTGTAAGATCCCAATTTCATGAGTGCTGGTATGTGGGGAGCTTTGCATCGGGGATCCACTTTGCATGTCTAGCCTTTCAAAGGGTACTGTAGGAAGTGTGGCATCAGGGACCAGGTTCCATGTGCACTGGCACATTTAAAGTCCTGCAGTGTAGCCCATGTGCCGTGGGTTTACAGGTGCTGGTGCAGAGGGAGTTGATTGGCTCCTCATACCCCAGTATTTGAAAACCTCTGCTGGACAGTCCCACATATAGACTTGAACACAAGGGCTTGAAACACGTTAGTGCAGGGGAGTCCCCTGGCTTCCCCCCCATGTCAGCACCTTTTAAAAGCCATGCTGTGTAGCCTGCATGCCGGGATGCACGCTGAGGCTGGAAATGTGCTGGTAAATTGGGAGTCTATTGACTCTCTGTGCTCTGACATCCTTAAGTAACCTGTTGTGCAGCTTTATATATGGGGTTGCATAGCAAGGCCTAACATGCCACCCACTAAAATTAAAACATTGCACAAACTAGCCACAAAGATGTCCCATATTAAATGGGGAACATTTTTGTGGATGGTGTGCCATCTCATAATACGTTAATTGGCTGAATGTGTGGCTTGATACAATTTATCATGGGATTGACGCAGTTGCACAACAAATATAATGTCTGGCAGGGGCCTGAGACTTAATTTCCAAAACAATCCTTTCTTTCTAGATTTGGCTAAGCATTTGCCAAAGGAAATATGCAACACACACACACACACACACACACACACACACACACACACACACACACGCTTAAGTATACTTCACTAGGGATTGTGTTTTATGTTAAACTTTCTGCTTCCAAAAATGGTTATTTTCTTTTAACATTTTAATAATTTATATTCTAGTTTTTAAAGCGTGGGACTGGAAGGTCACTTATGATGAGTTGCTGTTAAATTTCTCTTAAGTGGTCTGAGCACCTAATGGTCCATGAAAAATGTTTTTTTTCAGCACCCTCATACAGACTTGTAGCCACACTAACTGGTAAACTGCTTATCACTAATGAGGTCTTGGATTCCCTTAATTCTTATATCCTTGCAGATTGCTAAACTATTGAATACTAAGGGCAAAACTAGCTATTTGAAGCTAGTTACCCAATTTGATTCTTACCTAAATATACCAAAGATTTCTGTTAGCTGTTGAATAGTGGTAGAGTACATACGACTTAAAATGTATCAACAATTTAAATAAGGACTTGTCCAAAGAAGCACAATAGAAGTCCTGGACTTACTGATCTTTAAAACTGAACTCATAAAAAAAGGACTAAATGTGTGTACCTGTTCTGTGTTTATATTGTAAAGCAAGAATTAGAGAGAGATAGAAAGAAACTCTGGGATTGTTCAGAGTGATGTGCTGTAAATATATTTGGTGAGAAGCTGAGTAATAATTAACCTACAGCAATAATCAGGCTATTGAATGCTATCTTCTGAAAGGACACTATCTAATATTGTCCCTTGTGTACACCTCTACTCCCTACACTGACAATAAAATGACCGCTACTCAGTGACTTGAATGTAACACACAGTTCGAATTTTTCATATTGAGAGGCATTCATTTCCACCTCTGTGCACCTGTAATGTTGTTTGTGGGATATGAACCAATATGACTTCCAAATTTTTTACTTGTATGATCAAGGACAAACTGCCATGAGTGACGTTAGCACAGTTCTGAGACAAAGACTTTCTAACTCTTTTTTCCAAACCTTTTGTTCTTCATTAACAGTGAACATATTACAGGTTCATTATTAAAGAGCGGCTTAAAGATCTTAGCAGCTAAGAATTCCTTCTTTTAAAACAAATCCAATTAGTGTGGGAGACACTTAAGTTGTTTAAATGTCAAAATAGGTTGAATTTGGGGTATACGTTACTTGATAATGTCCTTTTTATATCTGTCATGATTGTGCCTTTTTATACATTCTGCTTACTGAGTGAGGCTCTAGATTGTTTTAGAAAATGTCATGGCCAATATTTTTAAGTGCCTAGTTCTTGGGTATCCTAAAGTGTCGTGTTTTATTCAGAAAGTGACAATCAACCACTCTCTGAGGTTTGATATACAAAATCATTAGGTACTCTTAAAATATGTGGCCAAATAGTTCTTCAGTGTTTTAATCACATTTAATGAAACTAGTTGGTATCTTTACCTGCTGGTCAGGCTGGATCATTGCTGGTGAAAGAAGAAAATTGTGCATCTAAGAAAACTTAGTGTTAGATGTTAACATGGTTTTTTTAGTTGTTTTTTCTTCCTTTTTGTTCTTTAATCATGAGCTTTGATTCATATGGTTTTTGGATACGGTGAATTCACCTGTAAACCAAGAAAATCTCCTTAAGTATAAATAGTTCCTCGCCTGATGACTTCTTGTGATGATAACAGGGCTTGGATTATGAGAGAGAGAGAGAGAACCATCTGAAACACTGCAACTTCAGAGACCAAAACTCCTTAGCTATATAAATTCTATCCATAGACACTTGTACATGTACCTAAATACTGCATGTTCTATGAACCTGAAGAGAGACTTCAAATTTGGTAAGATTGACTCAGCTGACAATTTACTGTTGAAGATGGAAGAAGGTCTATTAAAACATTTCTCAAAGCATTATCTTCTGAGCAATGCCAAATTTTCAGAAATTTGATATTTCACACAACCCCCCCCCCCAACATTATGAATCAACGCAGGATACATTATCAATTCCTGAAAGACTCTGGTAATATTTTCTTAAAATCTCAGCTCCTATATGGTTCTGTAGAACTTACTTCATTCATCCTTCCTTAAATACCGAATATATTGAAACAAACCAACCCTCTTATTAAAATGATGCCTTTACTTATTGGAATGTTGCTAGTATTTCAAGATGGTGATACCTTTAAAGGGATGTTATATTCAGCTGTATTTATTTTAGAAATCCTTTCCTGAGCACAGCCACTTTCCATCATATTCCCATGCACTCCTTATTCCTAATGTCAGCTGTAATAGTGATGTTGCTAAATATTGGATCACTTGTATCCAGAAGTAAGTATTACTTGTAATTTAGATCATGATTTGGAACTGTATTTTTAAGAGAGTGTTGCAAATAGATGAGAGTAACAAAGGATATACATTTAACTTGTTGTGAAAAATTGGAGTAATTGCCCAGGTGACGTGGATCTAAAATGCAGTGTTTTGGACAAAGACAGTAACCTCTTCAGAAGGTACTGGAGCAGGTATGGAGCCAAATAACTACTGGTTAGAATTTCATGTAGAATGATAGTGAATCCTGAGAATATTGTTGCAGCTCAGAGGGGTTGGGGGTTTTTTCTTCTAAAAGAAAAAAGTCAGTTTAAAAGGCAATCCTAAACAAGTTTCTTGATCATCACTGTATAATAACTTCAGGATTGCATGTTCTAGATTTGCAATGCCTGAGGGTAAAAGGCATATACATGAGTATCCTTACAAATACTGTCATTTTTTAACCTTAATTACAAGGTCAGGAGCATTTTGTTTATGTTACCAGAAACCTCTTAAATAAGCAAAAATACTGCCAAAAACCACAAAAGATACTTTGGTCAAGTCCACAACTGTATTTTTCTGTACTTTACAGTGAACGTTCTGGTATAAAGGGATTAGATGCATTAATGGTGACAATATTTTCAAACTGTTTGGTATTCCCTCAAATCATGTTGCTTATTCTCAAGTTTTAATAAAGGTAAAGGTAAAAAACAAACTATTTTGTTACTGGTAAATGAAATCATGTTTTAGTGTGGTCTGTATAGGCTGATGTTTTAGATGGCAGTCTTAAGTACAGTTGTCTTTTTTAAACAAAATTCTCTTTGTTGTAAGGAACAGGAAGTGTAAATGTAGAATATTCAGTCCTCTGTGTAATATTGTTTAGTAAAAAAAATTGTAAAGTTCTTCTGTCCAAATGTTGCTTGCTTTAAAAAGGTTTCGTGTAGGGGTGATTTCTGCTCTAGATTGAATTGATGTAAGAGCATGGAAGTGCAGTATTCTGCATGTCTCTCAATTTCAAAGATCATGAAAGATGACAAGAAAAATTTTGGCAGTTTTTGTCAGACTTGTGGATGTCTCATGATTTTTCATTTTATTTTTAAACATTTTGTAAATTAAATTTATTTAGAAAAACACCTGGTTTGATCTGATTTTTAAGGGTGGGAAGTCTTTTAAGTGTTTTGAGGCTCACTTAAAGCTCCCTCTCTCCTCTTTTTCTCTTCTATCCAAATTTAATATAACACTTCAGAACTAAAGAGAAAAAGTGCATATACTTAGTCAGCCATGTCTGGCATGTTTTAAATAAGAGGGTGGTGGAAGGGGGTTATTTCTAGTGGTTATGTGAGAAGAATTGGTTTAGAAAGGTGTGGGGTCGTGATGGCTCTTAAGATTTCATAGTATGTCTTCTGGAGGCTTTTGAACAGTTGCTTATCTAATATTGTGAACACCGTTTGTATTTTTTACCCAAGGCAATGAGGTTTTTGGTGTTTATCTTTTACTGGACCAACCGTATTGTTAGGAGAGATGTTAGACAAATTTTCAGCCATAAAGGCCAGGTACAGAAGTTACATTTATTGCATGGTAGGCATACAGAAAACACTATAGCTGTAACCAAACAGACAGTCAGGGCACATAGTGCTGTAAAAATGGTGGATATCTAAGATATCCCTGGATGGGTGTGGTATTAGACTTCAGTGCTGTAAGTTAGAGCACCATAACAAACATCTATACTAGATCACACAGTGACTCATGTAAGGTTGTATTCCACCAGCAATCCATGGGGCTTTGCAGCCCCCCATTCAACCCGTCTTGCAAGGCAGTGGACTAGCTTCAGCTAGAGCTCAACTCTTTTGCCCAAGTGCTGGGCCAACCCTACCCCCGGGCTGTCACTAATAGCAATGCCTGTCTCAAGGCCCTTGTCCTTTCTTACCATCTGGCCTTTCTGACTCACCATGTAGGTGAAGTCTTGGCAAGGGTGGTTATTGCTTCCACCCGATGTCTTGGCTTGGTCCATCAGACTTACTTCTTCCCCCTCTGTTATCTCCAATTAGGATAGATCCATGCACACAAAGAAAACAGCTTATTGCTAAATTTCTCTTACAGCATGTTGTCATGGGTGCAGGTGAGCAAGTGCTAAATGTGCTTCAGCTCCAATTTCTGGCTGAAAGAAACCAGGGATGTCTCTGCTCATTCTTATCCTGTCTTGATTCATTTGCACTGATTTCTGGCAGCGGGCAAGTTACTTAATGTGATCAGAGGAATTTCTAGTCTCCTGGACAACTCCCCTGCCTAAGTTGTTACAGTTGGTGTTTGGGTGTGTACGATTTTTCTACTGCATGTGTAGTAGTTTAGTTGAGATGATTCTAGCAAGAGTGAACTTTTCTCCTTTTCTGACAAAAGTGACCTACTTTTGCTCTGGAGCATGCATAGTGGCTAGTATCCACTTTTTGAGTGCTGAGTGCAATAATGGGGTAGCGTGCACATAGGCATTTGGACAGGACATGGTCCGAGGGAGTGTTTAATACAAAGTTAGATTATGGGAATTGCTGCAGACTGCATGAGGTAAGTAAGAATTTGATTAGACCACGGGCAGGGAATTATTTTGGGTGGAGGGCTGCTTACTGAATTTTGGCAAGCCATTGAGGGCTGCGTGACAGGCAGCAAGGGGCTGATAAAAAAATTTTCTACATTTTTTTAGGGGCCCCACAGGCCAGATAAA